GGGGGAAGTCCCACTGTCCCAATATTAGAAGCTAGTCCGTCTGAACAAGGCATCACACAAATGCACTTAGGTTGGAAAAAGAAAGTATGAAAACTCTTTATTTAGCATTCCTCTCTCCAGTACATGGGTCTTTAAATGCAAATCCCAAACCCTTGGCAGCACCAGAAAAGCTTCAAAAGATACTCTTCTCAACAATATCCAGCTTCACTGTTTTTCCTTGGCATCACATTTCAAAGCGGCCAAAAGGAGATTGGGGGTACAGACAACCAAACTCTTAAGAAGGACAGAACAGCCTTCCCCAACCATGGCCTTTGAGACTATGGTCAAAGCATATTATTGGCAAGAGCCCCTCCCCTCAATCATTTGGAAGGCACCAATTAGTGGAATGGCAACACAGAGAATTCTCGATACTTCTCAGCAAAATAAAGCAGGATAATACCCTGGAGGAGACAAACTCTATGGCAACAACTTTGCTAGCACTGAATGGTCATCTCTGACAACTAGCAGATGCCAAATCCTATCACCTTGCCAACTGCTCTTCAGTCACCAACTCTACAATTTTCCTAACAGAAACGTCTGGCTCCTGATTAACCGACAACTGGAAGGAACCTAAGGGTGGTGGCCTGTGTTTGGTTCACGACTGCATCAAGGCCGGTAATAACCCACAGGGAGCACTCCCGCTGCTCTTGCTGAAAAATCCTTTTGATCTGCCCTCCTTCAGAGACTGCTGTAACTGGCAGGTTCCACGTCCAAAGTTTCCTGCTCCACTGTTTTCTCCTGTGGCTGCACATACTTCTCCTGGAATGCCAGGGTGCTGATGAGTGAGAGTTAAGGAGAAAGGGAGCGCAAAAGCATTAAAGAAAGCCAAGCTGATCATCTCCATCTGTTGACTGGCAGGATAAGCATCTGCATAAACCACCCAAAGCAGTGGATGAGATAAAAAGTGCTTGTGTCACATGGAGGAAAAGTGGCAGAAGTAATCAGGGGCAATTTGGATACGCTGCACAAGGTGCAGCACACAAAACAATACTATTTGTGCACCAGTCTGCAGATTTTAACCCAAGTGTGCTAAATACAATCTCACCTATATGGATTTTTCTAAAAGCCACCCCCCACCCATACAGTCTTTCATACATCTGGTTTAAGCTTTTGCACTGGCTAATGACTAAAGGGAGAGCCAGTTTGGTGTAGTGGGTTAAGGCACTAGGCTAGAAGCTGGGAGACTGTGGGTTCTAGTCCCATCTTAGGCACAAAGCCAGCTGGGTGACCTTGGGCCAGTCACTCCCTCTCTGCCCTAGGAAGCAGGCAATGGCAAACCACATCCGAAAACTTGCCAAGAAAACTGCAGGGACTCATCCAGGCAGTTGCCAGGAGTCAACAATGACTTGAAGGCACCAAAAAAAAAAAAGTCTAAATGACTGGAAATGAGACATGTACAGACTCATTTTTTGTAAATCTCTGATCAAGCAAGCAGGATCTTACCAGGAAGCCAGACTTTATGGCCATGATGGGCTCTGAGACTGATCTTGCAGGGTCAGGACTCCTCTGCTCGTTTTTGGCTTCCTGAGTATTTGACTAGCATAATATGCGTTGACTCTATGTGTATCACTGAATGCAAAACAGCAGCTTAATTTCCATTATCCAACAAATCTAAAAATATGGCTACAGTTACAGTTAGTCAGAATTACACATCAGTCGCATGAAGGTTTTGTTTAAAACTAAAGAATCTTCAGGTGAACAGCTTCCATTGCTATCACTGGTCTAAAATGTCCTTTAAATGACAACATCATGATGAGCAGATTCCCCAAAGCTCTGCAGTTCTTAAGGCACAGAAAGAATCTGCATCTTCCAAGAAGGAGGGAGGAGGAAGAACAAAAAGGATACGATGTAAAATGAAAATCAGCTCCCATCGCTGCAGACATCAAGACATTGAGGCTTCTTTGTTCCGAGTCCCCAAAACAGTAACCATTGGCTTTGTCCACTGCCTGCATCACACACCGCATGCTTTCCTTGTCCTGAAACGAGGAACCATTAGAAACACGGCACACCTGGGACTTCTGGTGAGGACATGGCGAACTGAAGACATCCCCCAAAAATGGGGACATTATGGCTGAAATCCACAGCCAGATGTGGAATCCAGACCAGTGAAATCTCTCTGGAGAAAGGAAAGATAGTGAGAGAGCCCACCCACACTCCAGACAGCTGCTCTTTGTGAGTAAACTGCAGGAACAGAAGTTCCTGATGAGTTGAGCATCTGGGAGTCGAGGGATTACATCTAAGGTCATAGTCATATTGGGTTAGGGTTAGGGTTTAAGGACTCAAAGTTCAGCTGATCCTCATTTCTTAATGACTTTGGAATTAATTTTTTATTGCTTTTCAATATTGAGAACCTCCAGAATGGCAAGTTTTTATGGACTACATTTTATGGATGAGTTTTCTTCAATCCACTATGTAAGACACTTTAATTACGTATTTAAGGATTTATTATTATTTTTTTCAGAATTGACAGCAAAACGGTGATTAGAGTGTTGATTTTAGAAAGTTATAAACAGACTAGGAATCCAGATGGATTTAATAAAATTTGGAAATTAATTATAAGAATCCTTCCCATGGAAAACTATTCTTGTTTTTGCATTTGGAAGAAGACTTTGAAGACTGGACACTAGAGGGTACCAGAAGGAAATAAAATAATGGATTATTGAGATATATTTGTGAACAATGGACTCAGAAGTTAGTTTTAAAGATTTCTGCCATTATTGATAGACTAGTTCATGCTATGGAAGAGGGACAAATTTTACTGGACAAGACTGAAATTGTTTCAAATGTGGACTTAAAAATGACAAGCTACAAGAAGGATATGGAAAAAAACAAAATATTGAATATACAAATGAAACCGGCTGATGTTCTAATAACTAAAAAGGACAAACAAATAATAGATCAGAAGAATGACTTGGAGAACCTTTCTATATTGGATTTACAAAAGGGATTTGTTAAGGTTGTCAGTGATTTTGTGAGACAAGACAAAGAGAAAATGAAAAGAAACTGTTTGGACACTATTTGAAGGGACTAAAGATTAAGATTGTTGGGAGCAAGGGGAAGGAATATAAAGTTGGTTTATTTGACCAAGGTTAAAATAGATGGGTTGCGGGAGGGCGGAGCTGGCGTTGCAG